CTAGTACTGAAAAAAAAATAAAAATAAAAATAAAACACCCTCACTGTGGAGATTCCAGTGTTTCAGGAGCTGTATGTCAGGCAACCACTGGACAAAGACCAATATCAGAGTCCCCTACGTCTCTGGCTTGCTCATCTTTGACTTCTCCAAGTTCTTTATTGATCTTTGGCTCGGGACAGTCTGCATTCAGTGGATTTCATTTCAACGTCTTCTCTTTCCTCCTCACACTCATACTCTCCCCAGGGGTCTCACCCATGACCTCAACTATGAGATGATCTTAGCTAGTCATGAGTCTCCAGCTCAGATTTCCCTCCTGCTCATACATAGCTTCATTAGAACACAGTGTCACCTCAAAAATCCTAGGGCAAGATGATTTGAGAGCAGGAACATTATATTCACAAGGTGCCTTTGGCTTCTCACACTGCCTGCAAAAGGCACTCTATATGTTAAAGAATAAAAGTATCTTATTGGCTCAGGGCTTTTTATTCAGCTCAACTACTTCCAAACTCTTAAATTCAGAGGCCTTCAGCCAAGTGATTGTTGTGAGCAGCTTACTTGAATAATAACTCAGAGGCGGATATCCATCCCCAGCAAAAAATTGTCACACCCCTTAGATGACACCCACACCTAGACTTTGCCCATTAATCAAGAAGACTGATTACCCCCCAGACTTTTCTGTAGACTCTAAAGGAAAAGGGAGACTATTCTTCCTTCCCCTGCCCCTGAGCCCTAGAACACTACATTCCTGCTTCCCCCTTCTCTTGGCTCTTTCCTACCAGGGCCAGGCCCATCCTATGGAGTCTTGGCTTACAGTAACAACCCATGCCTAGTGACAGCCCTGTATTATGTCAATACGTGATTCCCAGTTATTTTCTCACTTGATCCATCTTACCAAAGGTTAATGCACCAGTTAGGATGGATTTGGCTATAGGTATAAAATAAAAAACAAAACAAAAAAAAAAACCCTGGCTGAAAACATGTGGTAGCATATGTTTTCATATGGTAGCACATGCCTGTAATCCCAGGGACTCTGAGGCTGAGGCAAGAGAACTGCAATTTCAAGGCCAGCCTGGGCAACTTAGAGAGGTTCTGCCTCGGGTTGCTAAGGCAAACTTTAACTGAAACCTGGAGGAAAAGGAAGACATGGCCAGGAGCACTCTTGAGCAGGATGCTGGTGCCTGGTATGGAAAAGATGTTTAATGAATGGTTGTGGCCCCATGCTACTCTGGAGGTGAAATTTGTGCCTTGATATGGCAGACGGTGCCTTCTGTCTTTGGTTCTACAAGGATGACCTTCCAGACAGTCTTTTTCTTATCTAGGGACTTTCTTATATTCTTATACTAGAAGTCCAAGCGGAGTACAGTTTGCTCAATTACATCAACAAGATTCCAGGTTCTTTCTGTCTATGTTGTTTCCTTATCAGTAAATATAGTATTAGTGTAGCACAGAGCTGTGGGGTTGGGTTTGGTTTTGTTTTGTTTTGTTTTGTTGATACTAGGGATTGAGCCCAGGGGAACTCAACCACTGAGCCACATCCCAAGCCCTATTTTGTATTTTAATTTAGAGACAGGATCTCACTGAGGTGCTTGGCACCTCACGTTGCTAAGGCTGGCTTTGAACTTGCACTCTTCCTGTCTAAGCCTCCTAAACCACTGGGATTACAGGCATGGGCCACTGCGGAAAATCAAAATTTCAAGGCCATCCTCAGCAACTTAGTAAGGCACTAAGCAACTTAGCTGACTCAGTCTCTAAATAAAATATTTTTTAAAGGGCTGGGCAAAAGAAACAATCAATGAGTGACGAGAGAGCCTACAGAATGGGAGCAAATTTTTACCTCCCATACACCGGATAGAGCACTAATCTCCAGGATATATAAAGAACTCAGAAAACTTAACATCAAAAAAACAAACAACCCAATCAATAAATGGGCTAAGGAACAGAACAGACACTTCTCAGAAGAAGATATACAATCAATCAACAAATATATGAAAAAATGTTAAACATTTCTAGTAATTAGAGAAATGCAAATCAAAACTACCCTAAGATTTCATCTCATGCCAATTAGAATGGCAGTTATCAAGACTATAAGCAACAATAAGTGTTGTCCAGGATGTGGGGGAAAAGGCACACTCATACATTGCTGGTGGGACTGCAAATTGGTGCAACCAATCTAGAAAGTAACATGGAGATTCCTTTAAAAACTTGGAATGGAACAACCATTCGACCCAGCTATTCCACTCCTCAGTCTATACACAAAGGTCTTAAAATCAGCATACTACAGTGGCTCAGCCACATCAGTGTTTATAGCAGCACAATTCACAGAAATCAAACTGTAGAGCCAACCTAGATACCCTTCAATAGATGAGTGGATAAAGAAATTGTGGTATATATACATAATGGCATATTGTTTAGCAATAAAAGAGAATAAAATTATGGCATTTGCCAGTAAATGGATGGAATTGGAGAATAGCTTGCTAAGCAAAATAAGCCAATCCCAAAAAATCAAAGGCCGAATATTTTCTCTGATAAGTGGATGCTGATCCATAATGGAGGAGGCATGGGATGAGTGGAGGAATTTTGGATTGGCCAAAGGAGAGGGAGGGATAGGGAGGGAGCAGGGGGATAGGAAAGATGGTGGAATAAAACAGATATCATTACCCTAGGTACATGTATGATTGCACAAATGGTGTGACCCTACTTTGTGCATAACCAGAGAAGTGAAAAATTGTGCTCCATTTGTGTACAATGAATCGAAGAGCATTCTGCTGTCATGTATAACTGTTTAGAACAAATAATTTTTTTAAAGGGGGTGCTGGGGATGCGGCTTAGTAGTTAAGCACCCTTGGGTTCAATCCCTAGTACCAAAAAAATTAAAAATCCCTAGTACCAAAAAATTTTAAAACTACCTAAGGTAGTTACTATTATTATCTTCATTTCATAGATGAGAAAAATCAATGCACTGTGAAATTAGTAACTTTCCAAAGATCATAAAGTTATTTAGCGGTAGAGTTAGGATCTAAACTGCATGTAGTCTCACTCCAGTATTGGAGATATCAAATCTTAGGTTAACTCCTAGGCTCTGACATTTCAGAAACCATTAGAAGTCAGAATTACAACCTGGAGAAAATAAATGTTAATTTGATAATTACTGGTTTGAAACTTAATTGAAGGAACAAATACTCTTTCTGCAAGCTTTTTTGTTTGTTTGTAACTGGGGATTGAATGTTGAGGCACTTTACCAGTGAACCACATACCCAGCCCTTTTTATTTATTTATTTTTTAGACGGGTCTGACTAAGTTGCTTAGACCTTTGCTAAATTACTGAAGCTGGCCTGGAACTTGGGATCTTCTTTCCTTGGTCTCCTGAGTCACTGGGATCACAGGAGATCACCACCACACTCAGCTTCAGGCATTTTTTTAAGAAGTTTTTTCTCTACTTTGTGAACACACGAAATTTTAAATTGCCAATTAAGAAGTAAATATGACATTTCCTTTGAGAATAATGTGGTTTGGTTGTTCTTTTCCTCCAGTTAGATTGGTTGTTGTTGTTGTTTACTGTGAATCTGATCTAACTTTTGTTTAGCAACTGGCCATGTAAAAATCATATAGTTTGCCAGATTTGGTGGCACATGATTATAATCCCAGCAATTTGGTGAGCTGAGGCAGGAGGATCACAAATTTAAAGCCAGCCTGGGCAACCTAGCAAGAGCATCTCAAAATAAAGTTTTAAAAACGGCTTGAGCTGTAGCAAAGGCCTCTGAGTTAATCTTCGGTACCAAAAACAAATAATTTTTTTTTAATAAAAAATAAAGCATGTAGTTAGCATTTTTAAAAAATACATATTTTTAGTTGTAGATGGGCACAATACCTTTACTTATTTTTATTTTTATGTGGTGCTGAGGGTGGAACCCAAGCCTCACAAGTAACAAACAAGTGATCTCCCACTGAGCTACAACCCCAGTCCATAATTAACATTCTTGTTGTCTTCAAAATATATTCCAAATTCCACCACTTCTTGACATTTCTACTACTCCACTCTGGTCCAGGACAACACTGCCTTTCCTCAAAAACTGCAATGGCTTTTGTAGAAGATAGACTCTTGGAGAAGGAACAGGTTTGACAACGAAATGTTCAAGAAAAGGCATGTTTAGCTTGCCATAACCTTGGATGGAGAGATCCAAATGTATTTTGGCATTCAAGAGAAAGTTCTGAGGTAGAGATTCAGAAAGACTTATTAGTCAGCTCATTCATACTTCGAAGGACCTCAGAATCCTTTGTTCCTAGAAAACCACCCCCCTCGAAGCCCACCTTCAAAGCTTCTGGCGGTCAGGGACAATGCTGGCTACCTCATGTTCACCAGGCTTGGCTGGGTGGTCCCCTTGCCTGTTCTACCAGGCAGTGAAACTGAGAACATCTTTGGTTTCCATCTGGACCTCCCAACTTCTCACTCTCCCCTTTTGTTTGCATTTTAAATTCAGAAGACTCCTAAGCCTTCCAGGAAGATCCCTTCTTTTCAGAAGCCCTCCCCGCCCCCTCCCCACCACGCCCCTCCCTCCACTGTCCCTCCCCCTTCCTGTTTTTTATTCATCTAAGAGCCTCTGGTCTGAGGAAAGCAGTTCATTGAAAGATGTCTTATATCTGGCTTTTTCCCTGGGCTGGGCCTCCCCAGAGGCTGTGGAAGCCACCCACAGCTCAGCACCAGGCTGAGACTAGACCCTACTAGACTAGATAAGCTTATCCAAAAAAAAAAAAAAGAGGCAAAAGCATTACATATTAGGTAGCATGCTTTATTAGATATCTTTGCCAGTGGAAAGCTTTCCAGCATTTAGGAAACTTCCTTCAGATCCACGCCTAGAAGCTTGAGAGATGAGATGAGCCACAAATCAAAACTTCTATCAGTCTTTCATGTTTTTCTCAACAGGGCTAAAATAAGACTTCTCACATCTCAGCTTCCCAGAAAGTCAGTCCTTTATTATGGATACAGCTAATTCCAAAACAACCTAAAATAACCATGAAATTGGTAAGGGGAACCCTGAGATGGCCCCACTCATTCTGACGGCCAATGATAGGCACAAGGTATCTGATTCCACGATGGTGGTGCCAATCAGTTCCTGATTGGTCAGGGGCTGGCTCCGGACACGCCGTAACATCTCCAGGCCTGTGGAGGAAATAGTTAGAAATAGTAAAGTAGAGCTCATTACTAGGGGGCTGCAGTGCAGGTGAGGACCGCCCACAGGAGCATTATGGGAAAGACAGTCATCCTAACCCAGGCCCCCTCAGACAACCCATTCATGCCTCCTCACTACCTTTTCCTCCCTCAGTGACTTCAAGTCACAAAAATGGTGTGACTTTGTCCCTCCACTTGTAATGAACTCTGGGGAGCACCTAGATTCCCAACCACCTGAGCAATCCTTCAATGCCACAAAACTCTACCAGGACTATCACTTCATTCTTAACCACAATTTAGTAAGGATACCTACCTTGGTCCTGACAGAATGAATCCCGGCTCCCCAAACTCCGGATCATACTCAGCAGCCACTTTCTTGCTCTAGGTGGTCCAACGACTATAACTCGAGTCTGGCCTGTGGCTGTGAACCACGGCTCCAGCTGAATGAGGGTGTGGCTGTGCACCTCAATACTATGAAGGTATTTATCTCCTTGACCTGTGAACACAGGAGGGGAGAGACAGGAAAAGTAAACACCCTGTACTGGGTGAGACAAAGAGGTGGCCTTAAGAGTAGGGACCTGGGACGGACAGAGGAGGAGAGAGAAAGGTTGGAAGGGAAGGATGGGGGAGGAGATGTGGGCAAGGGCTACCTACCGAATATGTGCTTCTCTAGGTCTTCTTCCATGTAAAATACCAGTGGAGAATGAAAGTTTTCAGGTAAGGTCCACCACGCTTTCTTGCCAAGAGTGCTCATTTCCAAATGGTGCACTGCTCTTCTTATTTCAGAGTAGAGCAAGTCCAAGCAACTGGCTGGAAAATGTGAAAAAGGCCTGGACCCTGTGCTATATATGGGCACTCAAACAATCCACCCCCTGACACACCCTAGGGTGGATCTCCTGTTACTGTAGCCTTGTGGAGAAAATCCAATCCAGCAATATCTCATTCAGGTCTTAATCTCTCCATTTGAAATTAGATTATCAATCAGTGCTTGCCCTGGCAATTCCCAGGGATCCAAAATTTTCTTATCTCTAATTTCAAAGAATTTTGAAGCAGATTCATTGAGCATCAATCAGGTCAGGGGTTGAGGGATGGAAGGTGCTAGAACAGGAAGTCTCCGAGTGGATCCCTGAATTTTGACAGGTCTTGGCAGTCAACCAACAACTATACATGTGCAGACAAACAAAGCTGGGTTTATTTAGTGTGCTGTACTAGAGAATCAAAAGCCAATTTTCTAAAATGTGACAATTAGATAATTATCTTAGCAATCTTCATCTAGGAGGTAGAGAGATTTATGTAATCTGAATTGTAGAGTATTATCTTTACCTAGTTTCAAACAGTTTCAGAGTGGCCTTTGTCCATCAGGTTCCATCACTGTGACTAAGTGGCCGTGACTGGTTAAGCTATTTTTTAAGAGCCAGGTGCAATGGCAAACACCTGTGACCTCAACGATCTGTGAGGCTAAATCAGAAGAATCCCAAGTTTGAGGCCAGCCTGGGAAACTTAAACAGACCAACTTAGCAAGACCCAATTTCAAAGTAAAAAAAAAAAAAAAAAATTACTGGGTGTGGTGGCACATGCCTGTAATCCCAGCAACTTGGGAAACTGAGACAAGATTGCAAATTCAAGACTAGGCCCTGCAATTTAGTGAGACCCTAAGCCATTTAGCAAGACCCTGTCTCAAAATTTAAAAATCAAAAGGGCAGGGGGTTTTACTAAGTGCCCCTGGGTTCAATCCCCAGTACTGAAAAAAAAAAAAAAAGTGAGATATTTATATTTACTAGGGAAGATTATCTATCAGCCTCAGACTGTAAATTCCTGCCTGTTTTTTCACTCTTCACCCTCCCCTTTTGGCCCAAAACAACAAAGTCAGGCTTCATGGTTTGAATTCGCCAGGTTTAGATCCACACCATTGTCAGAAGTCATTAACAAGGTTACTCAGAGAACCCAACCTACAGCGGTGTACAATTGTCTCTCAGGCCTTTTGTTGCAAAATGAGATATTGAATGATCTGAAAAGACAATGACTGCACAGGAGCATTCAGCATACTAAACACACTGATCACCTACATAGTCATTAAAAAACTAAATGACTATGAATCCTATTAAAACACTGCAAACACATCAAAACCAGGCCAAGAAATCACATTCCCAAATCCATCTAGAGATCCAGGGCATCTTTTCTTTTAATGAAGCCACAAAACTGTCCGACCTGATCAATAATGTTCTAAGAATGTGCTGCAAACAGTGTTTGTGACCAAAGTTCTTGGCTAGCCAAAGGTTTTGCAATCACCCATAATTGCCTTGAAACTAGTTTGTAGAGGTTGTGTCATTTGTAACTTCTGCTAAGGGCCAGAGACACGTTTTGGACCCCATTAGTTGCACTATTCCTGCCACTGGATTGGGAGCCGATGATCTCTCCTTGGAGCCTTCCTCCACAGTCCAGGCTTGCCTCATTTTAGGTAACTAAGTATATTTCTCAGAAAAATATAGTTTCTTATAAGAGTAGGTGATTAAAATTGAAAAATATTTTTAAAGTTAATATGTTTTAATATTTATTAATAAAATATTCAAAAAGCTGCATCATATCATATAAGATAGGTTTGTGTAGTGATCAGATGAAACCCTGATGTCCACATGAACTGTGGTAGTTTAGTGTTACACAAACTGTATGGGGGTAAAGTCTCACCTATCACAATGAGACTGGGGTGCTGGGTATGGTGGTAAATGCTTGGAATCTCAGTGACTCAGGAGTCTGAGGCAGGAGGACCAAAAATTCAAAGCCAGCCTCAACAACTTAAAGAAAGGACCTAAGTACCTGATCACGACTGTCTCAAAATAAAAAATAAAAAGGGCTGGGAATGTGGGTCAGTGGTTAAACACCGCTGGTTTCAATCTGTGGTACCAAGAAAAGAAAAGGAAAAAAAAAATGTGTGTGTGGATGGATGGATAGATAGATAGATAGATAGATAGCCAATGAGAGTGAGGTGACCAGTAGTCCCTCAAATGTGAAGATTTCAAGAGTGGAGGCTGGGGAGTCACAGAAGATAACATACTAATGCTTCAAGGATGCCCTCCATTTTTTGTTGCAATAATGTCAGCAGAAGTACGTTATTTGGGGGTCAGTGTCCAATTTTGATAGAGTAAGGTTAAAATTAACCTTTTAGGAAAATTCAAGTTACAGAGGGGCCCACAAAAGAGAATTTGCCTTTTAAACTGTGGAAAAGAACAATTACTAGATTTTTGTTAGTAGAATCAGATGATGGATGAAAAATTTATTAACCAGTTAGTTTTAAAACAATAGATAGAGTCTGATAAAAACACACAAGAAAGCTTTGCTCTTCCTTAGGTGAAGAAAAATACTAGAGTTAAGAATAATTATGAAGATTTCTGAAACACACTTGAAATTTTGTTGGCCTCTGGAAGCCACCAAAGAATGATAACAAGTAGAGCAAAAATTTTTAATTAGAAATTTTTTTTCTTGTTTTATTCTCTTGGGTAGAAATATCTGTTTGATGCCATCAGCTACTTGATCTTCTTCCAAAGTTTGTTTGTTTCTGAAAGATATTTAAGAAACTTCAGCTTATAGTTTCTGAATGAAGTATTTTCCACTGAGTCCAAGGGTAGATTTTCTCTGACTTTCAGAAGTTTAGTTTCTTCCCAAAGATTTAATCTCCAGATTTCTAATCATGCAGAGATTAATTATGTAAAATTTTAAGGAAGATTGTTTTTACTACTGATGAAGAAAATTAGTATTTAGAAATGGGATCTTGTACCACTCCTCAGTATTTAGCCAAAAGAATTAAAGTCAGCCTACTATAGAGTTGGGTGCATCTCCACGTTTATAGCAATGCAATTCACAAGAGTCAATTATGGAACCATCAACAATAAATATCCACCAAAAATAAATGCATTTTTTATAATGTGGTATATATACACAATAGAGTTTTATTCAGCCATAAAGAAGAACAAAATTAAGTCATTTGCATGGATGGAACTTAAGAGCATATTAAGTTAAGTGAAATACAGAAGACTCAGAAAGTCAAATGTTGTGTGTTTTCTCTCATATGTGACACCTAGAGAGAAAAAAAGAATGATTTTAAGTAGAAGGGGAATCTCATGAAAGTATAAGAGAACAGAAAGGAAAGGAGAGGTACTGTGGAATGAAGTTGACAAAATTATGTTATATACATGTGTTAGAGTCTGTAAACAAGTCAGGATGGCGCCTGACAAATGTTAGAGTCTGTAAACAAGTCTGGATGGTGCCTGGCATTTTGCCAGAGGGAGTGGTTTGTGAAGTAACGCAGCGAGCCATTAAGTGTGGAGATTCCTTATTGGTTGACTGCTGTATCAAGTTTATGTTAATTAGATAAGCTGTGTGGAATGTATAAATACCTCTGTTGTCCTACAATAAACAGCTCCCACTCCTGCTGTATCAATGTACACAAGTTCTTTGTCACCCCCCCCCTAGTTTGCTGCAGCCAGACTGCGACAGATGGTGGCCCGTTATGGGGAGCCCCAGGACACTCGGGGGTAAGTGACGAAAAAAAGCTGCCCGTCCATAGATAGGACGGGAGCAATCTGCTCGTCCCTAGGCAGATAGGGCGAGAGGAAAAATGGCCATTTTGAGAAAATGGAGAAGATTGATACAGTATGTTTGTGTCTTGTTTTGTCTCAGTGTATTGTATTGTTTTTGTGCTGAAAATATGGAAGGGGTGAAAAGTAAATTACTAAGGGAAGGAAGCACCCCAGTGGAACCAAGAATAGTTAGGGCATGTGTTGATAGAAGCCCAGGAACTCTAGTCAGAAAGAAGAAAAAAGTTCAGAGGAGGAAGGATTATCAAGAAAGAAATTGCAAAAGGCTACTACTAAATACTTTTCGTTATCGGAGGGTGCGTGAAGCCGCATGGAGGCTGCCGAGTATAGGAGCCGATCATGGCGCAGCAAGGAATTTCCAAGCGGCGGCAGCCGGCTCGTCCCCACCCCCCGCCCGGGGAGCGGGACGCCACTGTGCCGACCCCAAATCTAGACCTGACCCGGAGGCATGGTCTCGCAGGCTCTTGCTCCCTGTGCCCAGTAGCAGTTTGAGTCCGGGACACTCCCCAGGGCCATCTGGGGCTGCCCAGGCACTACAGCCAGCAGAAGACGCTACTGGTGTCCCTGATGTTTGGTCATTTTCAATGCCAATAACTAAGCTACAATGGTTCTCCCACACCTGGAAGCTGATGAGTAATGAGCACTATTAATGCTTATTTTAAATGTAAAAAAACCTTGAGATAATGTACTAAATTGTTCAGAAGGTTGTTTTCTTAGTGGAATGCTACAGGATTTTCTTTAGCGGCATTGCTAGAGTTTCCGCCTTCATCCCAGTGCCCGTGAAGACGAAGGTGGAAGAATTTCCAGTGTTGCTGAGAACCGGACTAGACTTCAAATCAAGCTAGCTGCCTGCAGTGCCGCAGTCCGGCTGCAGCAAAATAACCGGGGGGTGACGAACAACTTGTGTACGTTGATACAGCAGGAGTAGGAGCCGTTTATTGCAGGACAGGAGCAGTATTTATACATTCCACACAGCTTATCTAATTAGCATAAACTAGATACAGCAGTCAACCAATCAGGAATCTCCACACTTAATGGCTCGCTTTTGTTACTTCTCAAACCACTCCCTCTGGCATTTTGCCAGGCACCATCCAGACTTGTTTAGGAATTCTAACATTCCCCTGGCAAAATGCCAGGTGTTATTTTGACTTGTTTACAGACT